AATACTGAGTCAGCACATTAAGAAAGTAGCCCTCATTAGCAATACTTTTAAAGAGTCAGGATGTTTGAAGTTCCAGAGTAGATTATTTATGAGACTGTGTGTCCAGAGAGCCATATGGGCCATGTGGAGGTGGGTGAAAAGACACAAGATCAGGAGAACGTGTTCTAATGCACTTGTCTGGCAGGAAGTGCTTATTCTAATCTAGGAAATGTGTTGTTGACAAATCTAAGAAAAACAGCAATTCCTACAGGATATGTCGTGCGTCCATTTGCCCGGGCATTACATTTTTACAGGAGTCTTAAGATACATTCTTATCTAGTCTTCATAAAAAAGATTGTACAATACATCAATAATATCATTGCCCTTTTACAGATGAGGGATGGGGCTCAGAGAGGCTCTTGTCCTAGCGCCACTTACAAGACAATTGAAAGTTCAAATTTGAAATGACCCGATTCTCAAATGTGTACCTTTCTGTTACCCAACTGTTGTTCCCCTAAAACTGGTGGACTGACTGGCTCTTTGACTTTGAGAATGTCATTTGGATCCTCTATGCATCACTGTCTTCATCTGTATAATGGGGGTGAAAATCGTACTTCACAGAGGTGCTGAACAGCTTTTAGAAAGCTATACATTTTTTTCTATAAAATGGTCCACTTAATCTCTTTTCAAATACATCACAACATTAGTAATAGTATTCTCCTATTATTTTTAATGTCTTTACTATCTGACCCCACATGCTTTTCTTCTATTCTAAATACTGTTTATCTGTGCCTTCTCTCTCTTCTTCAAAGAGTATCATCAGAGGTTTCTCCATTATATCGATCTTCTCCAGGAAAACAACTTTAGTTTTTTGATTCTCTCTAGTATTTCTTTGCTTTGTATTGTTCGTTTTCTTCTCATTTTAATTTCCATTCTCTGCTTACTCTACAGGCCAACTCAGCTCTAGTTCTAACTCTGTGTGATTCTTTTCAGTTATTGATTTTAATGTTCTGTTTTCTATTATGACTTCTTAACCCATTAAGGTTTCTTTCTAACTTCCCAACTAAACCTGTTTTTGCATGGTATGTATTCAGGACAAATGGGGTGACAGGCAGGAGCAGATTTTCCATCAGCTCACCGTGTTGTATCTTCTAGAAGCATGCCAGATTATTTTTAAGTGGGCTTCCCTTTTAATTTTTAATTGTGGTGAAATACATAGAACACAAAATTTACCATCCTCACTAACCATTTAAAAAAATTTAAGTGTACAGTTCTATAGTGTTAAGTATAGTCACAATGGAGAGCAAGCAATCTCTAAAACTAAATTAATTTTGCAAAACAAACTCCATACCCACTAAACAACTCCCTACATTCCCCAAACCCTGCACCCTTCCTTCCGTCTCTGTGAATTTGACTACTCTAGGCACCTCATGCTGGTGGAGTCTTAGGGTATTTGTCATTTTGTAACTGGCTTATTTTACTTATCATTTTATCTTCAAGGTTCCCCCATGATGTAGTATGTGCCAGATTTATTTCCTTTAAGTCTGAAGATGTCATTATATGTAAAACCACAATTTGTTTATCCATTCACCCACTGAGTAACAGGGTTGCTTCCATCTTTCTTCTGCTATCAATAGGGTGGCTGTGAACATGGGTATTCCAATGTCTCATGAAAACCTTGCTTTTCATTCTTGTGGATATTTACCCAGAATGGAATTGCTGGGTGATATGTAATTCAATTGTAAGATTTTATGAAACTGTCATCCTATTTACTTGTAGTGGCTGTACCATTTTGTAATCCCATCAACAGTATACAGACTTTCTAATTTGTCTACATCCTCCACAGTTTTCATTTCATTTTATTTTTTGTGTGTGTGTGACAGCAGCCATCCTACTGGGTATGAGATGTTATCTCATTGTAGTTTTAATTTGCATTTCCCTAATGATTAGCAATGTTAAGCAGCTTTACTTGTGCTTGTTGACCATATGCATATCTTCTTTGGAGAGTTAAATGATTTTTTAAACATTTACTGAAATGCAACAACATAGATATAATTGATTACACAGCCAAATGGTTTTCATTATGTTAAAACAATTCAGAGTTTATGAAAATCATAATACCATTTCCATCATGAATGTATGGTATTACCATTCTACCTGGTGTCTTTCCAGGAAACAGATTCAGTTAACGTCAGGCTATATGACTATGAACTGCCTTAATACTTGACCCTGAAATATCTATAAATCGCATATTTCAGATGTAAATCCAAGGTAATGGTAGATTTTTCCCTGAAAATTCCATTCTAGAAAATTGCATAAAACCCATCAACCAACTAATAAAGGAAAATATAGTAAACGCAATTTAACTACAAATAGATATTCTATCTTAAAACTTTAAAAAATATATATTTTATTGATTTTTTACAGAGAAGAAAGGAGAAGGATAGAGAGTTAGAAACAGCGATAAGAGAGAGACATTGATCAGCTGCCTCCTGCACACCTCCTACTGGGAATGTGCCGACAACCACAGTACATGCCCTTGACTGGAATCGAACCTGGGACCTTTCAGTCTGCAGGCCAACGCCTCTATCCACTGAGCCAAACCAGTCTCGGCTTAAAACTTTTTCATGGTAAACATAGCCTGCCTTTTTAATTTTTTTCTAGCAAAGACAATCTTTTTTTTTTTTTTTTGTAGTAAAGAGTTTGAGATTTTTCTAAGATGATTCTATAAACATAAAAGTTCTTTACATAATGCATTTAGTTATTTGTATTTTTCCTGCTTAGGTATTATCTGTGCCTCACTTTTCATTAGTAGTGTGTGCACTCAAGGAATAATAGTTCAAAATATAAATAAAATGCTAAAGAGACATTGAAACAAAAAATATATATTTCTACTAAAGCATTATATACTTTGTTATTTGCAAAAAAAATAACAACAAAATCTCTATTTTAAAGCCTCTGACCTCTAGACCTTCGAGAGTAAGAGAAATGTCTAATTTTAGTGTTCGCTTTCCAGTAGTCAACTTTTCTCTAAGTTTAGAAGTGAATTCTATGAAATACAGAAAACTATGTGCACAGATTTCATAATATGGTCGTAATTCTAGACAAGTAACTTTCAGGTTTTTTCTACTGAAAAAGAATCATAGAGTTAAAATTAAAAACTATTACATCCAGAAATATTCACTCAATTAATCCCCTAATGAAGCTTGGCTGATGCAAATTATATGCTGAGTGTTTCTAAAAGGAGGTCTTTTAAAGCTTTGATTTTAAATAATTGAATTTTTTTTTTTTACATATTTCTTTGTAATTAGTGTATTTAAAATTTGGTCTGGATTTTCATTCTCTACTATATAATTCACTTCTACTTCTTGGAGTAATTCTCTTATAAAATGATTAATGGTAACAGTGTAATGATTAATAATGACACATTGTACTTTATAGCTTCTGGGAGATACAAGTACTTCATTACAGATTTCATTACCTCCATCAGTACTATGAGGCAGATAGGATGAGGACATATTATTCTCTTTACCGCAATTTAAAACGCAAAAGAGGTTAAAGCCATGTTGAAGAATGTTTATATGCTTTCTATGACTATGGCTGTGAATATTAGTTCATTAATGTGGATATTATTTGTTGTATACAAATATTTCATTTATTTGCCTACTACAAACCAATGTGATCTGTAAAAAAGAGAAATATTTAGCCCCGCCTGTGTGGCTCAGTGGTTGAGCATTGACCCAAGAACCAGGAGGTCACAGTTCCATTCCTGGTCAAGGCTCTTGCCTGGGTTGTGAGCTCGATCCCCAGTAGGGGGCTTACAGGAGACAGCTGATCGACGATTCTCTCATCCTTGATGTTTCTATCTCTCTCCCTCTAACTTCCTGTCTCTGAAATCAATAAAAACATATTTAAAAGAAAGAAAGAAAGAAAGAAAGAAAGAAAGAAAGAAAGAAAGAAAGAAAGAAAGAAAGAAAGAAAGAAAGAAAGAAAGAAAGAAAGAAAGAAAGAAAAGGATTGTTAGCTTCCCAGACTGGTTACATGCCAGTGACCACCAACTTTTATCCTAATTTTTCTAAATTTCATTAAGTACTTTCAGGAAAGTACTCCAAAATAATGAGTTCCATGGAAGAATTTAAAGTGACATTAATTCATTTTAACTTGACAATCTTCTGTCTTTCACATAAGTTCGGGAGTCTGAAAATGATTGGGGTAGTTAAAAAATATGCAATGGGAAAAACTGCCTTGACAATACACAGGATCTCTGCCTCAAGGTCCAAGCTCTGCTCTCGGAGGGCAGCGGTGGGTCTGAGATCTGGGCTCCTGAAGCCCAGGTGGGGGTGCCTTCTACTCTGAGTTTGTGAAACACGCTGCCGCAGTGTTTTTGCACCCAAGCTCATGAGTATCTGCTGCAAAGTGATATATAGGCTATCCCAAAAATGTACACATCCCTTAGCAACCCTCACTCACTTTTCGCTCCTTTTCAGGTTTAACTGATTTGAAACAATGGATGAAGCCAAACCAATCTTTGAGCACAGTAAATTTATCCTCAAGTACCAGTAAGCTTTATTATTTTTTGTATGGGGTACATAAGAGGTAAAGTTTACAGTGAGAAACAACAACAGTCGACGAATTGCGGGCACACAGATACCAAATGAAACGATTCTTGACGTTTGCCATTCCACGGCCTTGTGTTATCAGCAGCACCTGGACCAGAACAGTCATCAGTCTGAAAACTGGCACTGACAAAAAAGTACCAATTTCTGTGGATTCTTTAAAATTTTGAAAATGAACTGTATGTTAATAAACACTGACTTTATAACCATTTACAGTGTGTCTACATTTTGGGGGGACACTCTGTAGTTATAAAGATCAGTTTTAAAGAAAGACCGTTTAGAAAAAAGACCAGCTTGAAAGAAATGCAGTTCTGGAAGGTAAGCGTCGTCACTCTGTAAGCTTAAAAACAGGCCTTCTTGTGAAATGTTGCTGTGTATTCTCACCATGTGTAGGGAATGACATACCTGCCCCAGGCTGCCTCACTTGTTGATGCTTTATTAACTGGAACACAGGAGGAGTCAATGATGGTGGATTTGTTCATCCTGTAGCAGAATCCGCAATCTGGGTCCAACATACACTCATTACAGTAACTGTAAGATGAAAAGACACACTCGTGTTAGCAGAGATGACTGATGCTTCCCGCATTTTCCACTCTGCACAGTCTGGGTCCATGACACTGGCTTGGGCGAAGTGACACGTGATGAGGCCTCTCCCATCTCTCCCCCACCTCCCGAAGGATCTTGGGAACCCTCTTTGAGATGGGAGAGGCTTGGGTCTGAGACACTGGATGCAGAAGAACCTGTCACCTTGCAGCAAATAAACTATGCCTTTCTAAGCCACTGAGATTTGTTACCAAAGTATGGACTGGTCCATCTTCATCCAGGCCAACTGGTTCCAAATTATACCAAAGCACTTATTTCTCTTGTTTCCATCATGTAACACATCTTTTTTTAAAATAGAAAATACGTTTTTCCAATATATATTTCCACTTCCAATTCAGACGTGAACAAAGGTCGTTTACACTCACTTCTTTTCCTCCAAGCTCTGAGAAGGGTATTCAAGGACTATCCCTCTGCCACGGCTTTTCATCTCAGTTCCTCTGGCCTCACCAGGACCAGTGCCTCCTCCCACTGGCTATTTCCTTCTCTTTCTATCCTAAAACCTCTCCCAGGACTTACCCCGGAGCTTATGTGCAGGCTCAAGCCTTTCCCATATTAAAAAAGTGCGAAAAGCTGTCCTTCCTACTACTCCACACTACCCTTCCGTACTGGTTCATAGGGGTCACTCACTGAAGAGGTCAAATATTAAAAAGTGTTCAAGCCGAAACCAGTTTGGCTCAGTGAATAGAGCATTAGCCTGTGGACTGAAAGGTCCCGGGTTCGATTCTGGTCAAGGGCATGTACCTGACTTGTGGGCACATCCCCAATGGTCGGGGGAGGAAGGTGTGCAGGAGGCAGCTGATCGATAATTCTCTCTCATCGATGTTTCTAACTCTCTATCCCTCTCCTTTCTTTTCTATGAGAAATCAATAAAATATATAAAAATAAAAAAATAAAAAGTGTTCAAATCCTTGCCAACCCAGAGAGTGGACCACTGTTTGGAAAGTGGTGTTCCAACCCTCATCTGTGACCTAGAATTGTCTTTTTCATCATATAGAGGATTTTATGGCAAAATTTCCCCAAACGTATCAACATTTCTAACTTCGACTTGACATTTAGAAGGTTAACACAAAACTTTAACTATCTTGAGTAATCTGCTAATTGACCTTTTACAGAGAGCACCTATCACAACTGTGGCTTCAGCAAATGACATTAAAGGCAGGAAAACTTCTAGAAGTGGCTATTTTTTATTCATGATTTGCTCTTTAAGGCGTTCTTGAACATGACCTAATGAATGTATGCAAGGTTTGCTAAATATAAAGCTGAGAATTTAAATATATTGGTGCCAAATCAATGTTCCTAAGAACGTTTGAGGCACACATTAAAACTATTTTTGAGAAAAGCAAACTGGTGTTATTTATCTCCTTTTATTATCCTTCTACCATAGGATTTGGGGTGAGTCCCCATTTCTGGACTTCAAGTTTTCCACCCATGATCCTGGGGGAACCTCCCCTCCCCGACCCCAATGGCTGCCAGATGCTGCATGACAGGAATGACAGAAATGCATGCACTCTTAACTCTAAATTCCCACAAACACAAACTGTAAAGCATAGTATAACATTGTAATACCTTTCAAATATTACTCTCACTTCAAGGGCAGAAATGATTGGTGTGGTCTGTTTTAAGAAACTCAAAATTTACAACAGAAATTAAGAAGGCATTTACAAAGGCACTAGGCTTTATAAAAGGAATTGCTGAAAGAATTACATACAATGGTGATTCTACCCTATCAATACAAACTATTTTACATTTCAAAGGGATCAATATATAGAACAGGGATGAGATGCCCTCCTCCTTGCTCTGTGCACAGCTCTATTGCCAAGGTCACAGTGTGCTTTACTGGCTGGCTAGCAACACAGACTTCGGGGACCCAAGAGAAAAGGCACACGTGCCAGCTCCCTCTCTGCAGCACCCACGGGAGGCCAGATTCCGCGGAACAGGTTTATCACAGAAGCGAAATACCTGAGTTCTATAATTCAAGGCATTACTATAGGTTCATAAGCCTGTTTCGTTTTGCCCCCCCCCCTTTTTTTTTTACTTGGAATTTATTTTATTTTTTTTTAATATTATTTATTTTTTAAAATAAATCTTTATTGTTCAGATTATTACAAATGTGTTCCTCTTCCCCCCTCAATTGCTCCCCTCCACCAGGTTCCTACCCCACCCTCTGTCCTTTCTCCACCCCCCATTGTCCTCATCCATAGGTGCACAGTTTTTGTTCAGTCTCTTCCCGCACCCCCCTCTCCCCTTTTCCCTGAGAATCGTCAGTCCACTCCCCTTCCATCCCTCTGATTCTATTATATTCACCAGTTAATATTGTTCATCAGATTTTTTAATTCACCCCCCCCCCCTTTTTTTTAAAAGAAAATAATTTTGGGGATTGGTGGGGTGAAGAGCTGAGTCATTTTTAGGATGAAATACAAAGAAGGTAAAACTCAGTGTCAGAGGGTCTTTGGGATGAAGCTAGGGTTTTAAATTGCCGGATGAAGCTAGGGTTTTAAAATCCCGTTTGTAAACCTTCCACTCACAACCCGAATGGAACTGCTCAGTGATTTTGATAATGCACTTTCAGAGGCGTAAGCTGCAGGGGCCCATTTCCTGAAAGCCCACACAGAAGCGCCCCGGAAGGAGCGGGCCCCCCCCTTCAATCACATCCCACAGGATCTCGGAGCACAAGGACATCACAAGGTGTGGAGAGAATCTGGGTACGTAACTGTGCCCAGGACCCACGATGCTGCTCTCGGATGCGGATACCTCCCTGGGGGAGATTACACAGCCACCGCTGCTGCTCTTCTGTGGGATGACGCTGCTGGGGGAACGGAATGCACAGCATCTAGAAACCCCAACAGAAGACAGGAAAACACCTCATCCAGACAGTAACTACAATCAGAACAAAGCCAACCTGCTGGCTGAAGGGAGGAAAGACTTCACTTTTCCACCTCCGCCTTTTCTTTTCAAAAAGAGAGGAACATAAGTATTTCCATAGTAAGAAAAAGAACTGGTTCAAGAATTTTAAAATGCTTCCCATGAAAGGCAGCTCAGTGTCTGAGGCCGAGGAAGGAGGGCCTGTTTTCCTTTAATCGATCGTTTACATGTTTCTCGTGGCACCCAGGACATCAACCGAATGTGCCTTCTTCTTCCTCCTGAGAAAAATCCTTTAGGCATTGATTTGGGTTAATTCAGAACCGTTTTAATTTCTGCTCTGTGAAGTCAAGTATGAACTCGGCTCTCTAGGAAGCGGTCCACTTGTTTTCAATTGTGTCTCATTAAACCTAATGACACGGAGCATCAGGAACAGTGTGTGGTCTTTACAGTGCCTGTCTGCTGTGGCCTGGATTTCAGAAGATCAGTGGTGGCCAGTGCAGGTCAGGATGATCGATGCACTGGAGGTGAGGCATGACTGGCCTTAGGAAGCCAGAGCCAACAGAGCCTCTGCTTTTAGAACGTGGCCACGGGTTCACGGTCATTCTCGGTGGGCACCTGTGTTCACTCACACATTCCTTCTGCTTCAGTGATGTCACCGTTTCCTGTGACAGCTCTTCCAAACTCCCTTCCTTTTTACTCCCCCCACTCCTGACTGTTCTGCTGCCTGCAGCAGGGGACTTGGAATCCAGTTTACCAGAGGGCCCTTCCTGGGGACAGCCTGCCTTGCTTGTTGCCGCCTATGGACCCAATCTCAGCATGAGCACTGCGAAGAACACCGGGACACCTGCCCTCTCTCTCAGCCAGAGTGTAGATGGCAAGTCTCTCCATCTGCACTGTGTAAATAGAGAATTCCTGATAATTATTAAAAAAAAAAATTCTGGGGGACTGAAGTGGTTGGGAATTAAAAAGTAGGGGATCACCCAGCTGGCATGGCTCGGTGGTCGAGCATCAACCTATGAACCAGGAGGTCCCAGTTTGATTATCAGTCCAGATTGTGGGCTCAATCCCAAGTGCGGGGAGTGCAGGAGGCAGCCAATCAATGCTTCTCTTCCATCATTGATGTTTTCCTCTCTTTATCTCTCTCCTCCCCCCTCCATCTCTGAAATAAATTATATATATATATATATGTTTAAAGCAGGGATCTATTGGCTCATGAAGCAAGTCATGCTTCACCACTCTCCTGAAGCTCCCTCACAGAGACTGTAGGATCTTCTCCCTGTTAACTATGGGCACTTTTCTTTCCGAATCTTAGTTTATCATTCTGAGGTGAAATTCCCTAAAATCTTTTCCTCTCCACTAAAATCTTCTCACCCCTTGACACTACTTCCTCTACGGTCTCTCCACAGGCTGCATCTTAGTATTTCCTTTCTCCACTTGGTTCTTTCTCCTTTGGTTCTGTTCTGGGCAACCCTTCATCGCTCTTTACACTTTTATGGGAAATACTGACCTCACATGACCCTCACTATCATCCATACACTGAGACCACGTGACCCATTCCTCCAGTTTGTTTCTCTTCCATAAGGGCCAGACCCGTATTTCCAGAGGCCCCATTTTATGGATGTTTCACCAGCACCTCACACTCAACATAGCTAAAGCTCAATCTTTGGCTTTCCTGTCAAACCTGCTGTCCTTTTGTGTCTCACAATTTGAAGAACTGAGCGTGTGAGATCACTCATATTTAAAAGCGAAAGATTTATGCGGTCTGAAGAGAAACCAGAGCATGAGATCACTCATATTTAAATAGCACAACAACAGCAAGTCTATCTCACAGTGTGGGTAGCTCCTCTACTCACTATTCTTATCCTTTTTTTCAACTGAACGCTGACTTGAACTTGCCACCTTTCACCTGAACTCTCCCAACAGTCTTCTGATGAGTCCTCCTGCTTCTTCTCCCTGCCCTCCATCCTCTATATTTCCTTAAATCTAACTTTTTCAGGTTTCTCTCCCATTTCAATCCTGCAACAGGGTTCCATGGCCTGCAGGTGAAGATCCGATTCCTTATTAAA